TTGTGAACATGGTACTCATGAATATGCAGGATGCAACAGGTCTTTCTGTTTTTCATGTGAGAGAAATCTTCTGCAACACTATTTTCTAGCATCATTATACAACCTCTAGTTCTGTTTAATGCTATGAAAATTGTGCAATATTAGTAGCTATACATACAGTCTTGACTGCCTATTTTTAATGCTTTGTGTTTATGGTTCAAGTTCCAGTTGATTTGAGGTGCGTCATATGCCATTCAAGGTAACAAGCTGTTTGAATGTGATGTATGGCATTTGCATAAAATACTTGTTCCATTGTTTTCTAGACAATAAATTTTCCTCTTTCTCTTTGGTTGTTTGATGAACAAGCCCAAAAGATGTCAATGAATTATCTGATCACAATATTGCCAGCAAAAACGATAATTTCTAAGTAAAACAGTAGAAAATATGTCATGTACTTCAGCGCAAAGGGTCTTTGATTCTTAACAAGCAAAGTTTTATCTCTGGCAGACAATTTGTGATCTGGGTTACAAAAGGCGGTTGCGCTTCGAAATCTGTTTGACAACCACTTAATGAACTCTTCTCTGATTATTGCATATTAGTGGTTGCTACAAAATAACTTTCTAAAACTTTAACATATTTTTATATCGGTGAACTAAAAAAACATCATTAAAACATGACACTTACCACATTCCGTTACAAGGGTTGTTTAGGATCGTTAATCCAGACATGTCTGAGTGAGATGACTGACTCTCCAAACCTTAAAAACAACCACAGGCCACATTGCGATAAGATTACAACTGACTATTGAAAAGTAAAGGAAAATTTGAGTCATTCTGAATATTTTGGATTGATCTGTTGTTCTCATTTATTTGTGAATCAAAACAATTCATCGAATGCGAATAAGCAGACAAAAGGATAACTTCTAGTGTACTGGCAAATTGACAGTGGAACAAACCGAACAGTCAAAGCTTTAAATTCCACATCCCCAGAAATTCTTGTGCTGTGTAAACCTTCTTGTTCTTCCAAAATACTACAAGAGACTTAAATGAGAAAAAGCCTTCACGCTTTTCGCTTTGACATTTCCGACAAAACAGCTTGCTGAAACGACTGCAGCCCACAATGGCGAAGTCACGCTAGCTTATCAAAGCAGTATTAGCAAACATCATGCGATCCAACCAGCAGTGATTTGAAACACGTTCTCCCGCGAGGGACATTCGAAACGATTCCAATAGAGGTACGACCACTGAGTAAGACATCTCCCCTCAAATGGAACCTTTCCACGAAACGAGCAAACTTAAGCTTTTAGAATTACCTTCGATCAGCAGACAGATCACAGACAACGCAAGCCGCCCAAAAGACAAAAGTTGCATCAGCTCAAGAATCTTCGCTCACTACCATGCTGACGGCCGTGCCAGACAATGACAAATACTTCACGTTAAGATTCTAAATCACCCCATAATTGAAGATATATGTAAAAGTGAAATAAACTCCAGTTAAATAACGGCGTCGTTTGAAGGGCGGAAGTTCAGTACACTTATTAAATTCCTTCCCAGAGTTCCCAGGAGACTTTCGCTTTCCAAATATGGGGTGCAAAGGAATCATCCCAAGGACTTAACTATGACGCAAAGGATTGTGGAGGGGATTTAACTTTTTTTTAAAATCACAGAAACGGAATTTGGCGAGTTGAAACAAAGTCTGTTGTACGAGCGATTCGAAAATAGGGAATGAACCCAACGTCTTCTTTTTCATGGTATTATGGGCAGAGGTAGTAGTCCCAAGAAAGTGAATCAGTGAAAAACACCATTTCCAATGAAAGGTATACGAAAGAAAATGGAAAAAAAGGTTATGTCACGGAGCATCCTAAATTAAAACTTTGCTGATGACCCCTGCCGGCATCAACGATGGAGTAACAGAGGTGTATCGAAGATTTCCATATTTGTACAAAAGGGGAGCAAAATAGTTTTCAGTGAATAGTTACCTTTTGATTATCGTTTAATGCACTTTTTCCGTTGTGAAACAAATTCTACTACCCGAGCTTAGAGTTTACACAACTTATAAAAAATTAATAATAATAACGCAGTGGCAGAGCGGAGCTAATGGGGTGAAGTCTGTGAAGTAAATTTTAACCGGAATACAAAACTACTCTGGATTGTATCGGTTTCACCTTAACCCTTTACTCGCTAACATCAGTATCCAGATTCTCTATACTCTTCTGTGTTCATTTCCTTTGGTACTGACAAGGAGAATTTGTTTGACAATCAAAACCTCTTTAGTTCGCGATCATTTTCTTGTTTTCTCGTGATCTTAACGAAGGATTCAGAAGTATTATTGTGAGGAGAAATTAGAAGCTGATCATTTTAGGGTTTAAAGGGTTAACATACTATTTGTTCAGAAACTACGCGTTACTCTCTCAACCAATCAGAAGCTAGACTGAAACCAATCTTGACTTAGCCACTTGTGTCCAGTGCTTTAGGATGACTGTTATGATTTTACTTCACCTGCTTATTGGGTCCTTGTGTAATATTGCACTTTGCTTTGACTGGACGTTCAAATAACTTGGGTTTTGGTTATAACGCGCAGTACTCGAAAAGCGCTACGAAGAACTAATGATCTTCACGGTGGGATGGAAAATTCAATCTGAAAGTAATTTAGCAGCGATGAAAGTGAAGCTTAAAAATAATCAAAACCAGCTTAGCCTACACTTTAGAGTTAAACGAACGGGCTTTATCTGTCCAAGACAGTTAGCATTATATCTAAATCGTGCAAACAACACAAGGGAGTCTCTCTGTTTCTACATATGGCGGGCAGGAGAACGTCTCACAACTCGCAAAAAGCCCTCGGACGTATGTGGCATCTTTCAGTAGATTCCTGGATTCCCGGTCCAAGCAGATGACGTCTTTGTGGTCCTTCCGGTTCGACTGCACCACCAGGTAACCATCATACTCCCGATGCCAGCCTCGATAGCATTCCTTTCGAGCCGGCAGCATGATCTGCACGCTTCGGGTCCTGACCAAGCACAGTACACATGACAAGTAGAAGTAAGTGCCGTGTAAGATGCTGCGTGTCTCGTCCTGCTTCAGCGCATCGCGGTTTACCTGGGAAACGTTGCCGAGTGGAGTACTGGGATCCACTTGACCAAAGTACCACGGCTGATTGGGTACGCAGATGTAAGGGGACCCTCCTGTACGAGCTTTGTCATGACGTGTGCCTGCAGCTTGTCCTGAAAGACAAAGAGGAAAATCTCCAACATGACTTTTTGGCTCAAGAGAGTCAAGATAAAGGAACGCTTTCATAGTTAACTCAAGGGCGTGGCTGAAGGGGGTGTAAGAGAATAAGCTTCCCCCCTCCTCCCTGAGCTAACTTCCGATATAAGATAAAAGTTACTGATTAATATAATTAAAAGCCTGGCCTGTACATCCCAAGAGAACGAGGCCTCGATAGAAAACTTTTTCCTCTATCCCGAGGATTTGCGTAATTATCCCAAGGGATAGGCAGCTTAATTTGTACCTAATCCAGATTTCAGTAATAATGTTCCCTCGTCTACTCTCATCCAAAGGAAGAATGTACCTCCTTACCTGAGTACACTATCGTTGCACCTCCCACTGGGCACGTGGTCCTTCCCCATCGAACGTAGGTAAGTGCCCCTCCAGCATCCTTACTTTGATCCCGGCCAATTTCTTCATAAGACGCAGCCTCGAAGCACGATTTCTCCACCCTCCGACCCCGCTCCGTGACATAACAAGTCGTCTTCCCACGTTCACCTTTATTACCTTTGCTCCCCACCGTACCGGGAAGTCCTGGTTCGCCGTCCTCTCCCGGTATACCGGGAACTCCTCTTCCTCCCTTCATTCCAGGTAAACCTCTATCACCTATTGGAACAAGAAAACAAGCAAAACAATGTGATTAAAAAAAAGGGAAGTGAAAGGTTGCGCTCACTTTTCTTGAATTTTTACACGCAAAAATTCCTCCCTATATTAAAAGCTAGTGCGGTGTAGAAGCGATTATTAACCCTTTAACTCCCATGGGTGACAAAGACAGAATTTCTCCTTACGATATCTATACAATATCAAGCAGACAAGTGATGAGAATTAAGATAAATATCAATTAGGGGATTATCAGTTGATCCAAAACCAAATTCTCTCAAGTTATATCATATGAATTGTAT